TTAGGCCAAAAAAAAAAATAAGTCGGTCTCTGGTCAGCGCGCGCGTCGATTTTAATCATGCGCGTCGATCTTTTTTTTTTCCAAAATGTTCCGCGGTAGCTCCAACAGCGCCCTCTATTTCCGCACCTCCTCAATTTTTTTTACCAAAGAGCACCAAGGAATGGGAAATTGCACTACGGCAAATGATCGAAAGCACCGAGGCAAATTATGGAGGACACCAATGTACATGAGGACACCAAAAAGGAAAATAGTACCCACCTTGTCTGTACAATCCAAGCTTGAAGAAAAAGCAAAAAAAGCAAAAAAAAAAAAAAAAGCCGCGTGGCCGCGTCAATTCCGGAACTTTGGTCTGACCAGAGACCGAATATTATTTTTTTTTGGCCTTAAACAAATTGCCCAGCATTGACAGTGCTGTCATTGACAGAGTTCAGTGGGACCAGATGGGTATTTTGAACATTCATGTTACTGGGAAACATCAGTGTCTCTTGGCATATGAATGCATACATTAATAACGATTGCAGCATATGGAGACTTCTTTATAGCGGTACGTAGTGCATGACACTGTGATGAGGATTTCAACATTATGAGTGAAATTTGCAGTATATAACTCAAACACATGGACCATATTTTCATGCAAGTACCGGTACATGGACAAGAAAATAGTTTAACCCTAAAGGGGCCGGGGGGGGGGGGGGGGGAATCCGACCCCCCCCCCCCTCAACATTTTCCGTGATAGCCTCTAAAATAATTTTTTCGCGACCCGAGCTGTTATGACTTTTTAGCCTCGAGCTTTGCGCATCTTTTGATACCAAAAACATAAAAATCGGACAACGGGTTGCCGCGTAGCGAAAAATGTTCCGGCACTACACGCCGTGAAAACTGAATTTTCGCATATATACGTCGTGTACACAGAGCAGAATGGCCATTTGTACATATGAATAATTAATTAGCCATAATTCCAAAACCCTTTGACCTATAGTCATGAAATTTCTTGGGTATGTTTAGGAAGAGTTGCTCTATGCATGTGCTGAGTTTCAAAATTTTTCGTCACTGGATGGCCGAGATCTTAGGGGGGGCGGAATCCGCCCCTCCCCCCCCTCCCCCCCAGCTGAGAGATGGTCAAAATAACCCGGCCCCTTTAGGGTTAAGATACTACATTAACCCAAACTCCCTAGCATGATTTACTAGGAACCATACCCATCCTGCCAATTCCAACACCATATGGGAAACTGCACACACGTATTTCTGACTTTGATTCTGGAGGTGTGGCAACCCAATGTAAAAGACTGTCAGACAGATTCCAACAAAACGTGCTATAGGGGTTTGATGGGTTGACTTCTGTTAGGGTTAAGTTAACATTGAAAAGAAATTCAGGAAAGAAAATTTTCATTTTTCATTTTCATTCTTTGAATTTTCTATTAAAATTTTGAAGTCTGACCTATCAAATACTTTTTCGTGCGAACTTTGCCCCCCCCCCTAAAAAAAACATTGATCGATAAAATTACAAAGATAAAGTTGAGATAATGATCGATATTACAAAGATCAACTTCATACAAATTGTGATCATGAATTTGATGGGCCACTTCCCCTCGTAATTCTCCGCGCAGATGCCCATGGACCACGTTGCACGAATAATACGGTACATGCACTTCCACACACTCAAAAAGCGATAGATGGTCGTTAAAAGTCAAGGGTCGTTTGAATGTCAGTCGCAAACATATGTTCCCTCGATTTCATATTTGCCCGGCCAAATATCGTACTTTTGTGGCCAGATTTGACAAGTATGGTGTGGAGAGAATCTAGGCCGTTGTTAAGGACACAAGAACAACAGTAAACAAGAGGGTAACCGTGTCACTTTGTTCAGCTGAAGCTAAAATAGAAATAAATGTTTGTGTTCATGGATTGAAGGTCAATGTGTCATGTTTGTGAGGTTTTTAGAGACTATTGTTGCATGGATCTCTGCACATGTTTTTATTCAGCGTTTGTAATTGGGAGAGCATGTACATGTATTTCAGTGTACATGTACATGTGCATGTAGACACAGGCTGATTGGTAATGACATTTTCTGACTAAGTTACAGGGTACGTGTAAGATGCACAGCCTGATAATTTTTTTTCTGTACACATCTGAAAATAGTGTGAACACACATGTACGCTGTACATGTACATGTGTATCATTTACATAAATTATGTACATCATTTACATATGTACATAACATACATAAAGCATACATAAAATGTACACATACATGTACATTTTGTACATGTGTACATGTACACATGTATGTGACCATGATACATGTACTTGAACTTTGGACTCGCATGCATACCAATTAAAATTTTCTCTCGTCATAATGTATGTCTCATATTTTATATGATATGCGGCGGACCACACACACTGCCTCCCGTTGGTAAAATAATGTGTGCAAATATACATACATGTATGCAATTAACGTAGAGTTGACAATGACTGGTCCCCTTAATTATGATAATCATTTTATGTCGTTTTGGTACTTACACATACATGATAATACGTCTCATATTTTTGTTTTTAAATATAACAGACCACACAAAGCCTACTGCTGGTTAAGTAATTTGTACCAATATGTGCAGTTTACATAGAGGCTTGTAATATAACAAGTCCCTTTGATTATAAATTATGATAATATTTCATGTCGCTTGTGTAGTCAATGCATTCATTGTAAAGTACATGTTTGTCATAATTTTTAAGATATGTAGGAAAAACTGGACAGACAGACAGACACCCGCAGATAAAATAATTTATGCAAATATACATGTATGCAGTTGACATGGATGCTGCAATATCCCCTTGATTATGATTATCATTTCATGTAGTTTGGGTAGTGTCACATATACCTCATTGATGTGTGACAGACTATACAAACACTGCATCCTGCTGATAAAATAATTTATGCAAATATATGCAGTTGACATGGAGTCTACAATGACAAGTAGCCATTATTATGCTGACCATTTCAGGAGCAGGTCGTTTCACTAGTGGAATCTTTCCACTGATAGAGAAGCTTGTGCATAAAGCAGCTACACTTCACTATGCATGACTATATACATTGCCTTGTTTAAGTATTTATGAATGCCTTCCATTTGTTTTTATTACACACATGTACGCATGCCACTCATGCAAACATCTACATATATATGCGCATGACGCCTCAGCTTTGAATGGCTGTGATGTGCTATTGTATTTGGCATTAGGTGCCATTGAAGTTTAATATTTGATGGCTTGCATTTGTTAAGACCCTCGGTGCTTTGCATCGTATATGAATATTTATGGCCCGATTTGTATAACTTAATTATCGCTTCAGATGTGGTTTGGTTTTTTAAAAATCAAACCACACATCACAAATGCCAGTTACATGTACTTGTACATGTATATTCATGGTTAGGGAGAACATAATAAAAGCTTGCATACAAATATGTACATGTTCGCACGTTCGGTACAGAGACAATTTGTGACAAATTGATTAACACGTCATATAATTTGGGTACAATGTAATTGTAAATTCCAGTGGTTTTCGTAACCTTTAATATTGAACTTGGTTTTACAAGGTACAATTGTGTATTGGCACTACCGGTACATGTAATACTTATCACCCAATCAAAAAAACCTAATAATAAGCATGCAGGTTTTTTTTGGTTTTTTTAATCATACATATGTAGAATAAAATTAGGGTACGTTTTTCATGAATGTACCGTTGTACATGTTGTACATCACGTACATAATGTACGTGATGTACAACATGTACAATGTCTACATTGTAGACATGTACTGTACTACTTGTACATGTTCATGCACATTTACATGTGGAAACTTATATTTACATGTTTTGTTAGTACCCTAAATGTACAAATGTATGTTATACTAACACAAATATCAGATTAATAAGTATACAGTAGATGCATGCACGTAAATGTGAATTTTCCGTAACTGTACAGTGGTTTGTTTTTATGCTTAACCTGTTTACTTCACAAGATATTAAGATATAATTTAAAATGATTTCAATTGATATATTTTGTCGACTCTTTTAAGAATGAAAAAAAATGAAAATACTGCTATAGGCGTTGAAAAGCTGTTATCTTTTCTAAAAACAAGAACATTAAGAAATATCACCACCGCCCCCACCAAAAAATGTCGTGTGTTTTACATATTCAGTGTCCATGTGGTTTAGAAGGATCACACCTTATTTTCAAAAACTATTTCGTCATTGAAAACCAGTGGTTAGTAAAAACCAAGTTTTAGTAAAAACCTGGATTCTGTAAAGATATCAAGCAATATATAGATGTGGGCCGATGCCATGTATCACAGCCTTTAAAGAGGTTGTGGAATTCTCGAAGACACATCCGTCATTTTTCGGGTATCTGTAGCCTAAGGTGTGATGAAATAAAAACGACTATTGTGTCTGTCATGAAATGAGTACATAAGGTACTTTTGAGAGCTGTTTTTCTGGTCCTGTTTCGACCCGAACGTGCAATTTGTGTAAAAGTTGTAGTTGGGGGCAGCAAACAAAACATAGTAAATCGTGACATAATAAACAGGACTCGTTTATACTACGCTGCATCAGGAGTGCTGTTTATTACGTCACGATTTACTATGTTTTGTTTGCTGCCCCCAACACACCTGCTTCATCACACCTTAGACTACATATAACCGAAAAATGACGGAAATGTCTTCGAGCATTCCACAACCTCTTTAATCGCTTATTATAACACACAAGAATTGTGCAGATCAATGATTTTGATACCACATTTCAATCGATTGAAGGTTTATTAATTCCAATTAATCCAAGCTTTCAAACAGACCTATTTGTCCCTAGTAGCAACTCCTGATCTCTTGTGGTTATTTGTAATCGTTTCAAAGTCTACTTCACATCCTTTGCATTACAAGTGCCTAAATAACATCAATTTCATGGTATTGAATCATTAATTTTCATGAATAACAATTGTTTTCACTCCCTGTACCAGGTTCAGCCCGATGTGGAAGATTTGGATAACGGCGCAGACGAAGACGGTGACACGGATTCCGTCAAGTCGGAGATTAAACTGGGCAAACTACAATTCTCCCTGGACTATGACTTCCAGGAAGGGAAGGTGAGGGTGTAAGGCCACTGGAATCAGGAATTCACGCGGCAGCCTGAATTCTGGCCTTTTCATGTTTTGGAAAAACAAATTCAGACATTCCATCCCTTCACCGGCCGGAAAAAATAAATCCTCGTGTAGCATGCGTAGAGAAAAAGTTGTGCATGCGATGCTCCATGGTAATTAACCTATCGCGGTAGAATCGCGTCGTCGCAGCTTGTGAAATATTGTCCAATTACATGATGTACAAATGGATGCAGCGCGCAAATTCTGAGACAAACAAAACTTAGCGTACACAAATTCCACGGGTTGTCTAAGGGGCGTGGCTAACTCGCAAATGGCGATAGGTCAATCGCTGTGCTAGCTCGATACACCAATGATATGAATTGTAAGTTCGTAGTAGACATATTGCAGTGTGTTCAGTGGTATTGCGATGTGTTCATGGTGTATTGCGAACGTTTTGTGCGTGCTTGCCGCCTTCCGCGTCAAATTTGTTCATGCCTTGGAGCAAAAACCCATTTGGCATCCCTGATCAATGTTACGACATGGTTTGCGAATCGCGATATGAATATCAGTATCGTGATACTTTTTCTATGAATAAACCTGTACAAGTGACTATTCCAGACATCAGACGTCTGGGCAGGGCATCTTGTCATTGTAAAAATCCCTGAACCATCAAAAAATGTACCAGCAAAAAGAAAGTTCAGATTGATGAGTACATGTTGTAAACATCAGAAATATAACAACTAAAGCTCATGTACATGCACTGCATGTGGACAACTATAAATGAATACAATAACTGCATACAAATGCTGCCTTAAAGGTACAATGTAGAGTAGATCATTTGCAGCTATCCAAAAATTAAGTGACCAAATTACCGTTAAAAAGCTCGGCAACGTTTGAATTGAAATTGAGATCCTAGAATATTGTTTACTCAGAATGTACAGCATTCACAGAGCTAAAACTTCATCAAGTTAGTTGTTAAATGGAGGATTTTGCAAGGATTGAGGCTGTATGGCAAGAAGGTGTGGCTGATTTTGAAGGATGCACTGTGCCAAGGTCTTAGGCCGGATTTAGTATTGTTTATGCTCAGCCGTGAAGGCTTGAAGGCTCAGTTGTTTAGAACCCTGGTACGGTGATATGGCGATCGCAGGTTCGAACCTGCTCAAGTCAATTTCTTCGTTCAACTTTATATTAATTATGAAGTCAGTTTCCCTTTGTGGTTTATTTGATAAGTTTAGTACTGCGTATTTCATCAAAGGTCTTTTGATAATAAATACCCTGATGATGTTTCTGTCTTGACAGCTCAATGTCACAGTTGCCCAAGCAGCCGACCTGCCCGGGATGGACTTCTCCGGGACGTCCGACCCCTACGTCAAAGTGTACCTCCTGCCTGACAAGAAGAAGAAATACGAGACCAAGGTGCATCGGAAGACACTCAACCCGGTGTTTAACGAGACCTTCACGTTCAAGGTGCGTTACTCTTGCCTCAAACATTATCTTAACCGTAACACTCCTAGGGCCTTTAAAATCCTTCAAGAGGTTAGAGGATGTTCCAGGAATGTAGCAAAGCCACCATTCTTGCACACAGGATTTGATGCCCTTTGGACAGTTGAAATATAAAAGAATGTGCCATTGGGTTTGTGCGTAGTGAAGGATAAAGATTTATGGTGGCACCATGTGACGAATCTCTTTTGTGAGTTTGTGGAATTCTGAAAAGAACCAGGGGAATCTCAACGTTTTGGGCAGTATGCTCTGCCCGTCATCAGGAGACAATACTGTCGGAGCATACTGTCTGAAACGTTGAGTTTCCCCCAGTCCTTTTCAGAACCTCACAAACTCGTTGAAGAGATTTGTCACATGGTGCTACCGTAAATCTTAATCTTATTGCTACCTTCGCCCCTTATCATGGTGAAGGAGTTTGGAGGATTGAGGAAGGTTCCCACAGCCAGGTAGCTTTCACCAGTACACCTGTGATGCCGTCGCTCCAAAGCTTGTTACAAATATTTACCCATTTGAATGATATGAGACAGCGTGAGTATGTGGCTCATTCTATTAATTTGGGGTCCACTCTTTTCCTGTTCCTGTTACATCTGACATCTATGATTCTGATGCACTCCTTAATGCATACCGGTACTTATGAGAGTTGTTATGTGAAGTAAAGAACCTACCCAACAAATAGGAATTAGTTTGTAAGTCAGTTTGAATGGTAAATTGCAAAAATCTGAGATAACAGTGACAGGAAAAATATGTCACATTTTGGACCCTAAATTTATAGCATGACCCATATCTTAGATATCCTTCACATTTGTTTTAAATATTTCTAACTATTCCAGTAAGTTGTCTTCTTGATTTGCTTTATTTTTTACCCTTTTTTACGTATGATGTGTAACTATTGTATTAAATATATTAACCTTCACTGGCAGTTCAGGATTTTTCAATGTCAACCACAAGAACCCCATGGCAGACTTTCAAAGAGCATCATAAACTACTCAGGAAAAAATGGCCTTTCTTAAGTCCTTCAAAATTTTCACAAAAACATCTGGCTGACTTTAATGAGTCTGGGAGGGTTAGGACTAAGTACCGGTATACAAACATATTTTCAAGTTGTATCTCAAACCTTCGACGTTCTTACAATGTCAAAATTTCTCCCAACCCATTGTTGTTGCAGGTTCCGTATAGCGAGATCGCCAGCAAGACACTGGTCTTCGCCATCTTTGACTTTGACCGCTTCTCCCGGCACGACCAGATCGGTGAGGTCAAGGTCAAGCTGAGCCAGGTTGACCTGGGCAGCGTGGTGGAGGAATGGAGGGACCTACAGAGTGCCGAAGTGCCTGGCGGAGAGGTATTGACTTCCTTAGTACCTGTTTGGCTGGTACCTGAGCGGCCAGCCTATAGTCATATTTGCACCTGACTGACTCGGTGACTTGCTGACTTGCTGACTCAAGTTCTGATTCAAGTTCTGATTCACTGACTCACTGTCTCAAGTGAATAAGACTTGGCTGGTTCGAATCTGATGTATATTAGCAGCGGGTACCGCATTAACTATTCATAAGATGAATAGTCTGCACTAGAAAGCAGGAGGTCCAGGGCTCGAGTCCCACCCGAGTGATTTTTTCCAACGTTCACTCGGGAGGTAACACACTGAGTATACAGTGTTTATACATCCGTGAAGGGGCAAAACCTAATTTGATTTACATCACCCCGACACAAAATTCCATATTATGAATAAGACTTGCTGAAGTCTCACCATGGCCCAAAAGTTTGCAATAGGTTTTACCCTGTAGTTCTTGTGTCCTTGGGCAAGGCACTTTACTTCAAAATTTTGAATTTATCCACCAAGGAGTATAAATGGGTATTTGTGAAAATAGAGACCAGCTAATAATAGTAATATATACCAGCACTTGCATGAGCAATTCCAAACCAATGATCATTGCGCTTTGCGATATGTACAAACAAGCTCGATTGGATGTCTGAAGCTGTGGGCCAACAAATTTGTGTTCATACATGAGTCACGTGATTGTGCCATGTAATTTCTGGAAGGAGTAGTGTTTTGAGTTAAAAAAAAATTAGTTCTGCACCCCGGTGACCCCATGATGACCTTTAACCCCAGTTAGGTCATGTGACATGTTGGGGCTGGGCTACTGATACTTTTGACAAAGTTTGTTGGAAATCAGTCAAAATATGTAGGAGCAATGTTTATTACTAACTAACTAATTAGCTGACTAACTAACTAATGGAGAGACATAATAATTTGTTAAGCTGCTCACCACAGCTAAAAAAAGCGTAATGAGATACATGTAAATTGTGGGGATACCAAAAATATGAGACATGAACCAACCAGGTGGCGTTTGAATGTTTGTGGGCTAGGAGCCAATCTGATGGTTGATGGAAGGTCATTCCAGAAGTTAGGGGCACAGATAGAGAATGACCTCTCTGTGACCATCCTCTGACCCCTAGGCACCACGGGCCGTGTAGTATATGTGGATGAATGTAGACCCTGTCGTGATGATTGCACTGATCTCAAGCTGCTGTACAGAAAATGGTCTCATGGCTTGATGAACAGGTGTACATGTAATAATTGTAAAGTGGTTTGAGACCTTTGGTATAAAGCGCCATATAAGAACTGCATTATTATTATTGTATTATATAGACTTTTCTAATGGTGATGTTTGTGTCCCTTAAAGGGCAAGTCAGAGCTCGGCGACATCTGCTTCTCACTACGCTACGTGCCGACGGCAGGCAAGCTGACCGTGGTCATCCTGGAGGCCAAGAATCTCAAGAAGATGGACGTCGGTGGTCTCTCAGGTGGGTGCAAAACACCATTGGTTAGAACAGATGATGTCACTTGAACACATGGCAATAATCCAAGTCTCCAACTTTGTAGCTTTGATGATTAACCAGTTTGCGCTGGAGGCCGTGTATGCACGCAAAAGTTTTGCGGTATTCGGAACGGATGACAGATAAACACGCAGGGAGCGAGGCCGGAAATATCTGTCAGCGACCCACTTGCAGCGAGCAAGTCCGGAAATATGAGTGTGCTGCCCAAGGATGATGGCTTCAACCCGCCTGGCATTGAGGTCGAGTGAAAAGTAATCCCGGGCCTCGTTCCGTTCTTGTCAAAATAATCCCGGCGTAAACTGGTTAAATTGATGTTGTCCGTGCACAAAACTTGTTCATGTACCAAAAAACATTGGTACTTGTGTTGATTAGCACTGATAATATTTACCTGTTTTACTTAATAATTTCTGTCCTTACGAATTTGTTTATGCAAAGCAACTCTTTGAAATTTACCCTGTCCTTAGAAGTTGCTGTTGTACTCTAATGCTTTTACTTGTAAATATAAGTAACCTTAATGCAAAGATGCCACTACCCTAAATATTCCCTTGATTTTATATTTCTCTGTTTGACAGATCCGTACGTTAAGATCTCGTTGTACATGAACAACAAGCGGATGAAGAAGAAGAAGACAACAATAAAGAAGAGGACGCTCAACCCCTACTACAATGAGTCCTTTGGGTTTGAGGTTCCATTTGAGCAGATCCAGGTATGTGGACCGAGCCCATCCTTGCTGGCCCGGGTAGTCTTACTCGCGTACGCCCTAAGATGGTACCGTATCGAACGGAGTCCATATCTGTTCTATTTTGAACACGTGAAATCAATTATTCATGAACACTTCCAAATATGGACTGACCATATCTGACCAATCGGATCGCTGTTTACAAAGGTTAACCCAGAATTGACCTCCTGCCAATAAAACGGTGGTCTTGGCCCGAGATACAAGTGATCGATAGTGGATCGTGCATTTCTAACGGCATGATCAGGCATGCAACTTGTCCTCGGATCAGCTGATTTCCTCGTTTTTCATTTCACACTGATGCCATTCAAAATTGAAAAACACTGTACAAAGTCTTGTAAAGATTAGAGCTTCCTCGTTTTTTGGTTTCTTCCAAGTTGCATGCCTGTATGATTAGACCAGCGCGCCTGCTCGCACTAACGTCTTGGGAATCCTGTAGTAGCCGTTTAATTTGTCCTTTATTTTCACCCTAAGGAATATTCACACGAATGGAATAATGTATACTCAAAAGAGTTACTTTTCCCATTGGAAAAATCTTTGTTTGGAATTCTTTTTCGCCAAACCTTTCCACTGACACATCCTGATGTGAATACAGAGTCTGTTTCTGTTGATACCAAGTGGGGATTTTTCTTCTCTCGTTTTTCCATCTGCAGAAAGTCACATTGGTGGTGACCGTGGTGGACTACGATCGCATGGGAAGCAGTGAGCCCATCGGCAAGGTGGTCCTGGGCTGCAATGCCACGGGGGCCGGGCTCCGCCACTGGAGCGACATGCTGGCATCCCCGCGACGACCCATCGCACAGTGGCACACACTGCAGGATATGGATGAGGGGAAGTAAAAAAAACAACAACATAAAAACCCAACCCAAACGTATCCATTAAGTATTCTAGGGAAACCATTACTGGATATAAACTAACTCTGAAGCATTTAGCTTGCTTCGTGTGATGTTACCTGATCAGCAAGTGCTTCAACCAGTTGTATTCTGAGGAAGAATTTGAGGAATTGTCTTGTCGTTTGAATTTTGTAAAGAAATGCATAGGCCTGAGCCAGAACTACTTGTTAACGCATGAAATATGTACCTACTGTCAGCATGCTTACTAGGTAAGCATGAGATTGGTGGTCTGTGCTAGTGCTTTTAAAAGATAATGGTAAGCATCAGCCAAAATGTATTGCTAACCCTTGTAATATGCTTAGCGTAAGAACACAGTCTTCTGCTATTGTAAGTTGCGACTTGTCTCTTATTCTGAGCAGAGATTGCTGATCTGTGCTCGCACTTTGGAAGATAGTGGTTAGCATGAGCCAAAGGTTGTTGGTAACCGGTGAAATATGCTAACCGTCAGCACACAGTTTTCTGCTTATTTCAGTGGAGAGTCTTCGCTTACTGTTAGCAGAGATTAGTGACCTGTGATAGCACTATGAGGAGAGAATGGCTAGCATAAGCCAGGATTTGTTGCTAACCCGTGAGATGCGCTTAGCGTAAGCACACAGTTTTCTGCTAATGTTAGTGGAGAGTCTTCGCTTACTGTTAGCAGGGATTGGTGATCTGTGCTTGCAGTGTAAACACTTAAAAGACAATGTCGAGCACAAGCACAGAATTTTGTCGATAGCCCAACCTCGGGACAATTCCTCAAATTCTTGCTTTCTTTGACACCACTGTATTCCATAGTAATAATAAATTTTAAAAAACCGATCAGGCCACATCTGTACAAAAAGAAAATACCGAAGTAAGTAATCCTGTCTTCAGCCTTCATGGCAGTATTCATAATATAAAACTGTTGTTATAGATTGTATACAAATAGTGACTGCATGGCGTACAAGATATATGAGAATTCTGTTTAGTCACTAGATGTGTCAAATGTTCTTAGATTGTGAAAAAAAAATCTAGCTACCTGTTTATACGACCAAAATATGCATGGCATTCCAATCCTAATAGGACTTTCCATGATTCCCTAAATAGCACATTCCTCGTTTTTATTTAAAACTTTATTTCCACTGTAATGGTTGATTGCAAACACCTTCCCTACACACAGTATATCAATGCATCAGTAATGTGTAAATCACCATATCTCGTACTTAAAAAAAAAAAAAAAGACTCAACAAACCTATGCGGAGTTATTATGAAGACTTTATGTAGATACACATACACCTACGCTCATCAGGTTGTGTGCTGTTGGCAATTGTTAATGTCAGATTGCATTATATTTTTGTGTATATGTGCATGTTTTTAGTTGTGTCTTTAACATTTAAGGCTGCTGCTGTAGAGTAAGAGTGTTGCTTGAGTTTCTGCAATATTCAGTTCGTCAGGGTAGCTCAGTTAATCAGATAATGGCCTAGTCGTGCGGTATATAAATAGAAAGCCCGCTAGGTTTTAAATGATAAAAAAAAATAACACTGTACTAGTAACTTACCAAAGTTTAAAGAAATCAGTTTCAGGTCTAATGGTTAAAAAAAAATTATTGTGTTTGCTGGGATTGTATCATAATAAGGGGTATGTGAGTCATTTTGAAAAAAGAAGAAGCTGAAATTTTCAACATTTTTAAACTTGGAGTGTTGTCAGAGGCTATTTGTGTGACTGACAATGGCTCTCGTTTGGTGTTTTGATCAAAGCAAGTCTTGTCCAGCTCCCTGGAAACTCCAAGCTAAAAAGGTGCATTCCAATACTTTGCTATGCGATTGCACCATAGAGCTGTATTAAATTACTAGAGCGCTCACTCCTCATTCTTGCACGTGGAGACGCTCTGAAGCCGTCCTGGGCGCAGACATTTTGAATTCATGTGTGTGTTTGTAGAACATAAATGAAATTAGATGGATTGAATTTTGAAAGTGTACTCTAAATGCAACGCGCAAATAGAATGTACGCAAACAACTTAAGTGCGTCATTATGGTTTAAAACAAAATCACGGTTAATCATCTGCAGCGGATAGGGGCACGCATTAAGCTGTTTGCTTAGAGCAAAATGACACGCTCATTTGCTGATCGTGCGTTTCGGTTTTGGTAACGCACCTGTATGGAATACAAAAACCATACAAAATTTCGAGTTTTCCGTAGGTTTGTGCACAAACATGGATGCGCCCAGCAGACATCGCTTTGTACACGAGTCTGTGCTCTAGTAATTTAATATAGCTCTATGGATTGCACAAATACATGTACATAAATTTCCGTACATGTACAAGGTATGCCGCGTTGCTCTTCGGACCATTTGCTTGGACACAACCAAACAGTGTACGCAATGCATAACCTTGTGTTATGCCGGAGCTTTCCCGGGAACCTTTGGCTGGCAAGCCCGTTGTCAATCACACCAAGAGCTACTGTAACAGTCAAAGGATTGTGAACAAACTTGAGAATAAGGTACTAAGCTAGCGTATGGATGGACAGCCGCGATTGCAGTAAAATATCTTGCTCAGGGACAGTCCCTAACAGAACATGGCCTATGGCCGAGTCCACCACCTATACGTGAAGGTAAACTAAGTTTCAAACTACAAAAATTGTTTAAACCTTTTTTTTTTTTTCCCTTTTGAGTTTCAGTATCAGTACTGACACAACTAGAAAGAACTAACATCATAAACAATGGGGTTTAGTTTAAGGGAGAATAATATCCAAGGCATGCTGTCAGCCTGTTGAATTTTATTTTAAAAATCAGTGATGACATGAAATAATTCTTGTAGGTGCAAGAGTTTATATAAATGCGCGTGTGTATGTAGCCTAATTTGTTGTGTTTGTGTTATTGTAGAAACCCAAACTTGTGCAATGTTTATTAATTCACTAGTTGTCCGTAGTGAGGTTGTATTATATTTTGATTGTTGTAATGCTGCTACGTTTACAGTTTAATCCATTGTATCTGCAGGTTAAAGGGGAATTAATCCAAATCCTAACATTGGTCAATGGATTCAGTGCGCAGTAGGTGGTGCTGTTGAACGAGTGCCAGTGTTTGGGGAATAATGCATACGCGATGGTTGGTACACGGATGTGCACATGGAAGTGGCTAGCCCCATAAATGTGGCTCAAATACTGGACTACCTCCATAGTGTGAGCCACACAGCAAGCATGCTAAATTTCCTGGAAAGCCAGTCCCTGAATTCGAAATCTAGACTGTTTTTCAACTTGACATTCCCGTGCAAGCTACTTACCTGGTTAAAAAAAGCAAGAAACTGTAACTTCCCTACCTCTAGATGTCTAGTTATCCTGTAAAAAACCTGCAGTCATTTACACATATTGTAGACAAACTTTCCACAAATTTACAAGATAACTAAACGTCCAGATGTAGAAATGTGACTTTTCCAGCTTTTTAACCAGGCAAGAAGATTCTGTGGTGAATATCAAGTTGAAAAACACTGTAGATTTCAAATTCAGGGAGTACAACTTTTCAAGCAATGTAGCATGTGTCGCTGTGTGGCTCACAACACGGAGAAAGTCCAGTATTTGAGACACATTCGTGGGGCTAGAAAGTTGGCGTATTATGTACAAAAAATCCATCACCATTCCCACTCGTTTACACCGTTGAGGATATACATGTGCACGGCGTCCATTGGTTATGGGAGTATTTTAATCAAGAGGGAAATGAATGTGATAACTAGAAATATTAAACTATTAATGAAATAATGGAGGGAAATGAATTTGATGACTAGATATATTGAACTATTAATGAAATAAAGAAGTAATATGTGACTTGGGCCAAATGCAATTATCCACCAAGCGTGATGCAAATGTTGGCTCACGCATAAAACGCAATTTGATGGGTATGATCTGGACTCTAAATTGACCTATCGCAGTAGAATCGCGTTAGAATCGCGTCAACGCAGCTTGTGAAATATTGTCCAATTACATGATATACAAAAGGACGCGGAATGCGCAACATCTGAGACTAACAAAACTTAACGTACACAATTCCCTTAGGGTTGTCTAAGGGGCGTGGCCAACTCGCAAACGGCGAAAGGTCAATTTAGTCTGAACCCAGCTTTTAATTTGATTTCAGGAGCAAGGTTAAACTTTCCATAGTAAAGTTTTAAAAACATGAATTTTCTCTGAATTGCTAAATGCTTGTTACAGCTAGCAGAAAATTGTTGCTAGCTTTAGATAAATCCTAGCATGCTACCAGACAGTGTACTTGCAGTCATGGGCGTCGCCAGGATTTTTTCTAGAGGGGGGCAAAAAATTTTTTTGCCAAAAAATGCTGGTATTTCTCAACACATTCTCGATATATCAGTTTTAGAGGGGGGCATGGACATTTTGCCCCCCTCCCCAACTCATTAAATTTACACCACTTTGTCCTCGCGCCTCTTTTTTTTTTTTTTTTTTTTTTTTTTTTTCCTTCCTTTTTTTTTTTTTTTTTTGCTTTTCCAGGGGGGGGGGGGGGCAAGTGCCCCCCCTTGCCCCCCCCCCCCTCGCGACGCCCATGCTTGCAGTACACAAAGGACCCCTTCAGTGCCAAAAGCACTGCGTCTGCAATTGCACAAAGCAACTCCGTTTACCATTGAAGGAGGTCACTGTGGGTCAACAGTGGTAGTATGTTGAGAATAGTGTACAGCAGAATCAAAGTTGTACTAAGGCCAAAAAAAAAAAGTCTCCGGTTTCTGGTATGCGCGCGCGTCGCCGCAGCCATGCGCGTCGGCAAAATGAAAAAGTTTTTTTTTCAATACAAGATGATGTCTCAAAACTGCCAAACTCACTGGTTTGACTGGAATTCTGCTGCTGCACAATTTTAACGTGTTTTTAGATGGGGTTATGATCGAGAATAAGCTTTATGTGGCCTCTCTGGACTCCCATATATTTGCACTAAGTTTAGTCGGGCACCATTTGCAGTCATCAGCCGACATTTGAAGTAAAAAAAAACAAAAACAAAAACAGGTAAAAAACAAAAACAAAGCCGCGTCGCCGCACCACTTTTGGGGCAAGCTCCATACCAGAAACCGGAGACTTTTTTTTTTGGCCTAAAGCTCCCAGCCATATCGTGTGGTTAAGTTTTGCACAAATGTGGAGATAACTATTGCGTCACTACTTCAACAGCTTTCACGTACAACTTGGCTACCGTGAGATTTCTCGAAGTTGATTTTTAACCCGTTTTTATCATTAAATGCAAATTACACAAAATTGTACTATCAACATAAAGCAGTAAATTTCCAAGATTAACTTGTAACTAATTGATATTGCCAATTTATTTATTACTGATGTAGGGCATATTATATGGACTGTATATAGTTGTGACTTGTGAATACCATAATAGTTGTGACTCTAAATTAGAAGTACTATTTAATACTGCTGATTTTAAGGAAGATTTGTGGAAGTATTCAATGCATGCTTGTACCACGGCTGACCAAGACAAAAATTACACATTTCCTAGGTTTCTTCAAAAAATGTCAGTGTGGGAACATTTCCACATGGGTAGCATTTTACTGAAAATATGCATGCTCTTCGTGTAAACTGTCAGATATTGGATAGATCTGATACCCTGAGATTTATTAAGGGATGTGGAATCGTCTGGCATATTTTACACGCCAACTGTACTACAAAGGCCCCAAACTATACCTGGGAGACCAAACTATAGGTGGGAAGTCCCATGCCTGGGCATACCCATTGTCTGTTCCGTAAAAGCATGCCTCTACATATTGTATTCCGTGTGTCACCCTACAGTGGTCGTGTTTTATTGCTGTGATATTGCTTAACGTACACATAATATTAGTGATATATATATTATTATTAATTGCAGCCAATGTTAGAAATGTATATTAAAATACACAAAAAACACCTAATTTTTGAGATTTTGTTTGTGTGCAACGCTGTGCACGGTATTCTCGTTTCATTGTATTCCAGTTTGTAATAAGTACTGCGTGGAACATTTGTAAAATGTTAAAAGAAAAGTAATTATATCATAAGGGAAGTTGAGTGAAAGGAATCCTTCGATGTAGTGAACAGTACTGGTTTTGCAGACCAATTACTTAAAAAGTCTTGATAAAACTGCCAGTAATTTGTATTCAAATGTTATCACCATTCTAGGATTAATCCACTTGGCATGTGAATGCCCCGTTAGACCATCTTATGAAGATATTCTTGATTTAAGGGAAGTTTCGTTTGGAAGATGTGCCGGACTTCGAGTAAGTCTGTGTTGAAGGTGGGTTTTTTTTTAAACACACGGCCTTATTCTGAAGTACGTGTTGTCCCGCAATGTGGCTCTTTTCCAAATAATTGATGACTCTTTCAAGTCGTCATCTGGCTTTTTCGTGAATCACTTCTCAAATCAGTTTGAATGTTGCAGCTTTTAAACAAAACATAAAATAACGATAAGAATGTAATTATGGTAGTTCCCTGGAGTCAGCTATATTTTGTGATGAGTTATTGCA